TTACTTCCTTCCTTTCTTTGGAAGACTCCCTCATCCTTCTTTTTTTTTGTATCAAGATGGAGTAGTAGAAAGCCAAAAACTTTCTTTCCCAAAAACCTCATTTGTTTTTCTCGTTTATCTCTGTTTTGTTTCAACAGTTCTAGCAGGAGCTGATTAAAAATAGTTGTTGAACATTTTGGTATTTCTGAAGATGCCAAATACTTGTTTGGTGGATGCTAAAAAACACTCAACTAAAACAAACAAGGGTACGAAATTATAATACAATTCTATTAATCACAAAAATATCATTAATGACATTTGATACATCAAAACGGGGAAAAAAATCACAATATAATATCTTTATTGAAACTCTGGAGGTAAAGACTAGAATCACACTGAATATTTTCACCAGTAAGAATGAAATTGCTGATATTCAATCACAAATGCTTCATTTTTGGGTTCAGGTCCCTTCGTAAGTTGTTATATATCATTACTTCATAATGGACTGTTTTCAATGACTGGTGAAAATGTAGTCTGGCTCCAGTCTAATAGCATTTGGACTCATTGGTGGAAAAAATAAAATAGAATCAAAATTTACACAAATCACCTACTTCTGTTTTTGAACCAAAACCAAGTGAAATAGACTCAAGTAAGTTATGTAGTTTGATAGTAGCAACACTCCCGGTGCATCCAATCAAAATTTTGACCATTTTAGGAAGACTTTTTCTCCAAATCAGAAAAACCTAGTTTGGACCAATCTTCCTTGTGCATAAGATTATTTTCCATTCGGCAGCCCAAATACTCTTTGGCAACTTCTCGACAGACGGAATTATCGTTTTTGTTAGTATGCAGACATTTCATATATTTCACCATCAGTTTCCTGCAGAGTCCGTCGTGATCTAGTGGAAAACTTCCTTTGCCTGGAGCGGTGGGCGTGAATTTTTTTTGGCCGAAGGTCATAGACGACATCAGACACAGGTGGTAACAATTAAATGGATAATGAAACTATCGAATTAAAATATCATTTCCGATCAATTTCGCCCCTAACCTAAAACAATGTATAGTATAAACCCATAGACATAACATAATATAGAGTATAGACTTATGTCAACTTCACCTACTGATTGACAGATGAGAGATGACACAGAGATTTGGAAACTACGGCACAGCGATAAACATGCCCGTGACTCTACTGTGACTATGTCATCGGTAATATGGGTTGCATACATAGTGGTCAATATGTATCCAATTAAAAAATATCGATATAATTTTTTGTCAAGAATCTTCGTCTTCCATTAATGATTTATTCTGGCGTCGTACAAAAAATAATTGGAATCACTGTCAAAAAAGTATTAATAAATGACACCCAAACACTCAAAAGTCACATTTATTCAAATCTCCGTTGCCCAAACAATTCGCATGAACGAATAAATGGAAAATCACTACTATCAAAAAACCTAAATAGACAAAAATACCTACTTCATTACAAATAACAAATCAAAATCCTCAAAGTTTTACAATAAATATATATAGGCAATACTGACATCTGATTTTGAAGTATATCAGTAATGTAGATGCCAAGATGTGGATCTCTCGGTTCTGTTTTAGTTGTTGGAGTTTCTGTTCTCGCTTCGAGAATAATTTTAATTTTCCTTGGCTCTTTTGATAAAGTGTGAAATCATTCCCATATTATATTACACAATATATAACTCTACCTTGAGATGAAATGGGTAACTTTAATTATTTCATCTCCACCTTTCTTCAATGATCATTCTGAGGTTCTCCAACCCTGAGTAGAATTCGTTTTTCTACTCAATAATACTGTTACTTTTTTAGATTGTAGGTGGCAGTTACTGTTCAGTAACATTTTTGTATATAGACTTTTATACAGTGTGTACAAGCCAAATGGAATAAATTCATTATTTCGATTATTGTAAATATTAAAAAAAATCCCGAAATAAATTTAAATTATTGTTTGACATACTCAACGGAAAAATGTTACCCCGACCTTCAACCACCTTCGAACGACGGATACAACCCCCAATTTTTTAAATAGGGAGTATATGCATAACAGTCAGATATTGCAAATGTTAAGTTGAAACTCTTCAAAGACAAGCTTTCTCGAGCTTTTCTGACATTCCCTACGTTTATTTTACCAAACTCTTCTTACCTAAAAAATATATTGAAATTTTTGTCTATATTGTAGTTCTGTATTTTTGTCTGTATTGTATTTCTGAATGTTTTTTTAATTGGTTGAATAAACATTATTATTAAATATATTGGAAGTTATGTGCTGCTTTCGACAAGCAATACGAATACGTCTGGTGTTGTGGAAAAGCAATTCATGGCTTCTGCATCATGATAATGCACCTGCTCACTCGTCATTTTTTGTTCACACCGTAAACATATCTCAACCACCACCATATTCACCAGATTTGGCCCCCTTCGATTTTTTCTGTTAGCAGTATTGAAGAGACCTAAGGAAGAACGGCATTTTGCCGAGGAGATACAAACCAAATTGCTGAGGGAGCTAAAGGACATACCAGAACTGCTTTGAGGATTGGAAAAACGCTGGCTTGGGTCTATTATATCTGAGGCGGACTACTTTGAAGTAGACAATATGAAAATTGATGAATGAGTAAATATATTTTGAACAGACACTTAATTTTTTTTACAGATTTTGTATATAATTGAAACACAACTAGAAAATCACTATTTCATTATCATACATGAACAATGTCAATATAAACAGGTGAAATTTTGTAAACAATAAAGAACGGTCATACAAGCAAGCGGTTTTTCCTTTGCTGATAATTTCTATTTCTCAATTTCTTCGTCACACTGTGGAAGATAAAAATACCCTAAGAAGGTCGATAAAAAATTGATTTTCCTCCACAAAAAATGCATTTTGTTCCATCTCCCAATATGTCTATCAAAGACGTGTTCAGGATTTATTTTCGGAAATAGAACACATCTTTAAGAAGTCTGGTATATCTTTAATATATCGTCAAGACATTCTCGTGTTGTATGAATTTCTATTGGAGAAACTCATCGTTATTCAAGACTCAACTGCTTTGTGAACCGGGGGTTAGAGGCCCGGACAATCGAATCGCACATTAAAAGGTAAGACCTCGTTGATTCTTATTTCGAACAAGATTAGACTGCTGAGGGTTGTCGTTTGTGGAGGAAAACAGATTTCAACAGATTTATTTTAACCAGGGTAACTAAGACATAACCTTCTATTGGGAATACTAAGACTCAGTGAACTAAAAAAAAAATCAGTATGAACATTGAATACATATGTTTATAAAACTATTTTCTCTGAAACTACACTTTTCAAAAAGTCTACAATAGTTGCTACTTCGGCCATTGCACCAAGACCACTGTCACCACATATAAGTACTTTCTCGATCACTGGAACTTCATGGTATCCCCAGGTTTTGAGGGTCGATATCTGCTGAGAGGTTATGGGGTGCTGGTACATTCTAGTGTTCATCGCCGGGCAGAATATGAGAGGCTTGTTCAAGTCCCAAGCTCGCACAACGCAAGTGAGTAGGTTATCGCAAATACCCTGAAAAAAAAGGTGATTATTGACAGAATTAGAGAAAAGATATACAATTGCTCTAATTGTCAACGTGAAGTAATTCATGCCAGATTCCTCAAATACCAAAACATTAGGATATCTATACAGAGTAAATCAAAAGTAATGAGACGGTCTCTGGAGAGAAGACGAAACATCTCTTCAAGAAAATGCAGGTCACTTGTTTCAAAATTGAATAATATGATCTTCTACTAATGTAGTGGCTAATAATCAACTGAGTTGCGTCCTAATTGAAAATTCAAACTTTACCAACTCATGGTAAGTACATGGACATGTACTGAACTAATTATACTTTGTGCTTTTTATAAAAATTTGAATCATATGACTTAATAACTACCTACTTGATGATTAATGATTTTACCTGAAAAAAATTGAAAATTGGAACAACATCAAAGAAAATTTCACCAAATCATATAAAATGAACATGTAAAAAACTTATTACCATTTTCCATGCTCGAAAACAGACTCAGTCAAAATATGGTTTGCAAATGTGAAATTGGTCTTCACATTCAAAAAACTACTCATGTATTCCTTTATTCTTTGGGAACAGGTTCTCCCTGTTTGCCCAATATAAAGTTTTAGACAAGAACTACAAGTCATCTTATATATTCCTGATTTATCCGACATTGAGTTTGTGTCTTTATTGTTTTTAATAAAGTTGCTTAAATATTAATTTGTTTGGTAAACCACGTAAAATTCGATCAGTTTCAAAAAAAGAGCGATGTTATTGATGGGAAAGTATGTCAATGATCTATGACACTTATTATTTTTTATTTAAGAGGGGAGAGACCTGCTAAATGGCTCTCGGCAGTTTTTTGGAAAGAATGGAGATTTTAATATCTACCTTATAACAGTTGTTGACAGCAATTTCTTTGATAAAATTCAGATCTTTCTGACAGTAGGAAATTCAATAGTCTGAGAAGCATATTGCTACTTTATGCTGATTAGAGATGTGTCGAGGAGTCTGTATAAGATGTTTATGGAAACTTATTATTTACCAATTCGTCAGTCAGAAATGCTTTCTTGTCGTAAAAGTTTAGGTTTTGTTGACAAAGCAGGCTTAACAACTAAAACAATCTGAAACATCAACATATAGGTCAAGAATTTAAAACAAGATATTAATATGGCTCAAACACACTTCAAAAAGTTTATGGTAAAAGTCTGTGATAAAAAATTTTATATGTTGACCAAACAGGCTTAAAAACTAAAACAATCAGAAACATTAAAATAAAGTTGAATAATTAAAATGAGATATTAACATGGCTCAAGCACATTTCAAAAAGTCTATGGATAAAAGTCTGTGATAAAAATTTTATAAGTTGGAATTAAAAGTTGCGAAGTCATCCGAAAGAAATTCCTCAATAGTATAATAAGCTTTATCTAGCAGGAGTTTTTTTACTCTTTTTCGAAACTGTTTGAGGCATGTTAACTTTCTGATTGAAAGGGGAAGATGATTGAAATATTTTTTGCTGGGAAGAGGAATATTGAATGTGAGATGAGTGATGAGTTGAGTCTAGATGTTATCGTTGTGCTTTTTGTGCATTAGGCAGACTGTTTCTAAAATAAAGAGGCAGTAGACTGTTAAGATTTGATGTGCTAAAAAAGAGGCTTACAGGAATCTTGCATTCTAACTCTGGTAATGAATCTCAAAGCTCTTTTTTGTATTGTAAAAACTTGACTCAATAAGTTTTGACAGCTGCTCCCCCAGAAACAAATTCCGTACCGCAAGTGGGACTCGAAAAGTGCAAAGTATGCTTTTCTAACAGAGTGATAGTCCAAAGAGTTACTTTGGACTATCACTTTGGATAATTTTTTGCATAGTTGAATTTCCATTCAATTGGTTGGTGAAATTTTCTTTTATGTTTACACATTTTTAATCTGTTTTCACCTCAACTCAGGTAAAATAATTTGTCATCAGTCATAGTCATATCTCTTGTATTTTGTTAGAGAAATTAGATATAAATTTTTTATGGAACAGCTAATACATTTTTTTATTGATACAAATTCGAAATGATTTTTTCAATAAAATCTTGATTGGTTTGAACCCTACACTATCTGATGAGAACTGTATTTTGAAGATACTTACATTTGAAATTTTCGCAAGAGTATTAGCATCCAAAGGAGCTATCAAAAACACGTCTGCCCATTTCGACAACTCTATATGTAACACAGGATCCCCTCTTTGTGACCAAGCTTCCCATTCGTCTGAATCGGAATAGGTACAGACATCTTCAATGCTGTTTTCAGCGATGAAATGCTTTGAGTGCTCAGTAAAGCAAACCTTAATCTGAAATGAAATTAAGATATTAGTTTTTCGAGACTGTTGACCGTCATCCATTCCAGTGATTCTGATTGTTTTGCTTACATACAAGGTTCGCATTTCAAGTAACATAAAGATGATCTTTGTAATAATAATGAAACCTTTATTTCCTTTAAAGACTTACATAATTGTGCCTGAAGACTGTTTCAATCTTTCTCTTGAAGATGATCACTTGGTGATCGAAACACATGTCGAAGTGTTAAAATAATAATTCTCAAGATTTTCAATTTATATGCCTCGGTTCTAGAATATAATTATAAGTCTGATAGTAAGGGTTCCATACCACTGACACATATTCAGTACGGACAAATGCACAGTAAAGAACTGGATACTTTCTTGATGTAACCTAGCATCTTGTGTGCTTTGAGGGACATCATTATTATGAGTAGAGAAAACTTTAGTTCATCATCCAATAAAACCCCACATTTATTTTGAACATTACGAGCATTGTTTATATCTGCCCTCAAATTGTTAAATATTTTCAGTCTCAATATATTTGGTGATTTATTAGTTACATTATTTTTAACATGTGATAGTTGATACTTCATTATTTGCTTTGAGGATCGAGAATAATATCTATTATCAAGTTTGTGATTCGTTTCGGAAAACATTGCGAGACAGTTCCATAACTATTTAAACTCTTGAAACTTCACATAGGATATGGATTAATATGGAAGCTTCCCAAGAACATATCACAGCCCAGTCTCAACACAACAACACAACATAATAGAGATTTGTCAGCTCATTTGCAGTGAGAACAATTCCCAAGTTTTTCAATTTATATGCCTCACAGTTTCAACCAGAGACTAATCAAGAACAATGTGTTTTGAAATTTAAATGTTCATCAATATGTACTCCAAGAAGGTTCATAACTTGTTGTTTCTCCAAATCAGTATCCTGAATTTTGGGACTCAAGGTTTTTCTCAGATACTATAACCAAAGTATCATCAGATAATGAAATGAGCATCAGTGTGTAAATTGTAAAAATAGCGTAGTAGGTAAAGAGAATTGGCCCAATGATTGACCTTTGAGGAACTCCTAAATTCATAGGCGAACTTATGGGTTTGATAACGGCCAAACAGTTATCACGTTAGTGTTTAATAAATGTATATGAATACATGCATGAGGATTCGAAACAATTTGAACCAATTCAATAGGCCCCATTTACTTAATACTTCTGCAGAAAAAGGTTCAAGAATCACTCTTTTATTTGAAACAGGACATGTATCTATAATTGTGGAAGCATTATAATTTGAATTGAAGGGGTTATATTTTTTAGGAGTGATTAATTTTTGGGAAAGAAAGTTTTTGGCTTTCTACTACTCCATCTTGATACAAAATAAAAGAAGGATGAGGGAGTCTTCCAAAGAAAGGAAGGATGTGTAGATCATGCAAAGAAGTAACTTTCAGACACAAACTGAAAGAAAGTCCTCCTGAAACAGCTACTTTCATATAAACATTGAATTATACGATTTTTTTTGTATCAAGATGGAGTAGTAGAAAGCCAAAAACTTTCTTTCCCAAAAACCTCATTTGTTTTTCTCGTTTATCTCTGTTTTGTTTCAACAGTTCTAGCAGGAGCTGATTAAAAATAGTTGTTGAACATTTTGGTATTTCTGAAGATGCCAAATACTTGTTTGGTGGATGCTAAAAAACACTCAACTAAAACAAACAAGGGTACGAAATTATAATACAATTCTATTAATCACAAAAATATCATTAATGACATTTGATACATCAAAACGGGGAAAAAAATCACAATATAATATCTTTATTGAAACTCTGGAGGTAAAGACTAGAATCACACTGAATATTTTCACCAGTAAGAATGAAATTGCTGATATTCAATCACAAATGCTTCATTTTTGGGTTCAGGTCCCTTCGTAAGTTGTTATATATCATTACTTCATAATGGACTGTTTTCAATGACTGGTGAAAATGTAGTCTGGCTCCAGTCTAATAGCATTTGGACTCATTGGTGGAAAAAATAAAATAGAATCAAAATTTACACAAATCACCTACTTCTGTTTTTGAACCAAAACCAAGTGAAATAGACTCAAGTAAGTTATGTAGTTTGATAGTAGCAACACTCCCGGTGCATCCAATCAAAATTTTGACCATTTTAGGAAGACTTTTTCTCCAAATCAGAAAAACCTAGTTTGGACCAATCTTCCTTGTGCATAAGATTATTTTCCATTCGGCAGCCCAAATACTCTTTGGCAACTTCTCGACAGACGGAATTATCGTTTTTGTTAGTATGCAGACATTTCATATATTTCACCATCAGTTTCCTGCAGAGTCCGTCGTGATCTAGTGGAAAACTTCCTTTGCCTGGAGCGGTGGGCGTGAATTTTTTTTGGCCGAAGGTCATAGACGACATCAGACACAGGTGGTAACAATTAAATGGATAATGAAACTATCGAATTAAAATATCATTTCCGATCAATTTCGCCCCTAACCTAAAACAATGTATAGTATAAACCCATAGACATAACATAATATAGAGTATAGACTTATGTCAACTTCACCTACTGATTGACAGATGAGAGATGACACAGAGATTTGGAAACTACGGCACAGCGATAAACATGCCCGTGACTCTACTGTGACTATGTCATCGGTAATATGGGTTGCATACATAGTGGTCAATATGTATCCAATTAAAAAATATCGATATAATTTTTTGTCAAGAATCTTCGTCTTCCATTAATGATTTATTCTGGCGTCGTACAAAAAATAATTGGAATCACTGTCAAAAAAGTATTAATAAATGACACCCAAACACTCAAAAGTCACATTTATTCAAATCTCCGTTGCCCAAACAATTCGCATGAACGAATAAATGGAAAATCACTACTATCAAAAAACCTAAATAGACAAAAATACCTACTTCATTACAAATAACAAATCAAAATCCTCAAAGTTTTACAATAAATATATATAGGCAATACTGACATCTGATTTTGAAGTATATCAGTAATGTAGATGCCAAGATGTGGATCTCTCGGTTCTGTTTTAGTTGTTGGAGTTTCTGTTCTCGCTTCGAGAATAATTTTAATTTTCCTTGGCTCTTTTGATAAAGTGTGAAATCATTCCCATATTATATTACACAATATATAACTCTACCTTGAGATGAAATGGGTAACTTTAATTATTTCATCTCCACCTTTCTTCAATGATCATTCTGAGGTTCTCCAACCCTGAGTAGAATTCGTTTTTCTACTCAATAATACTGTTACTTTTTTAGATTGTAGGTGGCAGTTACTGTTCAGTAACATTTTTGTATATAGACTTTTATACAGTGTGTACAAGCCAAATGGAATAAATTCATTATTTCGATTATTGTAAATATTAAAAAAAATCCCGAAATAAATTTAAATTATTGTTTGACATACTCAACGGAAAAATGTTACCCCGACCTTCAACCACCTTCGAACGACGGATACAACCCCCAATTTTTTAAATAGGGAGTATATGCATAACAGTCAGATGCTATTTTTTGCATAAATAATTTGTTATATGCTCATCAAATTTTAATTTATCATCTATAAATACCCCTGAAAATTTTGTGTCAGTTTTATTAACTACAGCGTGATTTTCTATAAGTAAGTCGTCAAAATCGCACCACTGTTTAACTTTATAGAGATCCAGAGTTATGATGTCTCTGAGATTATCTTCATTTGTTCCACGCCAAAGGACCGTGATGTCATTCGCAAAAAGTGTGAACTTCCCTTAAATATCAATGGTTAGCAGATCATTCAGATAAAGCAGGAAAAGGTTAGGACCCAAAACCGAACCTTGTGGTACACCTGATGTATTATTCTCAATATGCGATGTATTTCCTTGGAGTTTTACTGACTGCTCCCCGCCTGTTAGAGAACTGTAAAGCCAGTTATATGCCAATTCTCTAAAGCCATAGCACATGAGTTTAAATAATAGTGTTTCATTATTCACGCAGTCGAATCATGATAAATATATACTTTACGAGTACTTATATGAGAATTTCAGTTGTCTATACGAAATCTTTTTGTTATTTTTCCAGAAGAATTGATCAAATCAAGCCAATTAATCCAATTTTGGTCTAGAAGGAACTTTATTGACGTTTTTACTATTTTTCAACTGACAATCTTGTTTACAAAACAAATGAACACAAAATAAATATACAGAATGATAAATAATAAGTAAATATCTACACTTTTGTTTCCCAAAAACAAAAGTGGAACTGTATTTCTTGACAGCAGAAAATTGGACGACCCTATAATTTGACGCGACCAAACGTCATACACACCCTCATTGTAGTCTGTAACGTAACAAGACGTGACAAACTACGTTAATAGATAACTCCATTGATGACTTCCAAGCAACTATGTCAAAAGTCGTACAATCAATCACCTCGTAAAATGTCCAGACGTCGCTGCCTCCATCACAATGTCGAGAAACTGAATTATCAGTTTTATTGCCGGCGAAAACAGAAGAGTGTTTATCGCTTCTATTTCAATCTGAAAAACAAGTCGATTCAGTCACGCGATGAACTTTTTTATTGGCACGCAAAACGAAGTTTGGTTCGATTTTTATGAGGAATATTTTGACTGAAACTATGTTCCAACTGTGGGTTTCATGGTCGAAACAATAAAATATTTCGATTACGTGAACTCTGTGAAATTATTGTTGTGGAAGTTTGTTGGAATGGAGGTTTTTACTGAATATCCAACAAAAATGAGGAGTCTATTTGGGAATCGTGTCATATAGAAATATGAATCGATTTAGACTTTGCATTTCAGCAAGTGGGAAGCTTGTTATGGGAGAGATACAGAACAATTGCAAAATAGACAGATAATCATAAGGAGAGGAGGAGAGAGGCTAGATATTTCTCTTAACCCATTAATACTCTTCAAGAAACCCTATCTCTACTTTTCAAAAACAGTTTTCCCCTCATGACATTAAGGGAAAAAAGAAAAAACCATGGATGTCTCTAGGAATAAAAACATCAACTGCAAACTTCAGATCACTGAAATTGTTTAAAAAACACACTAACAGTGAACTCATATTGAATTATATTAACAAATATAAAGGTATCTACACACTTGTGATTGAGGCTGCAAAAGAGAAATACTATAAAAATAGGATAGACAATGCAAAAAATAAAATGAAGGGAAATTGGCTCATAATTAATAATCTGAGAGGGAAGAATTCAAAGCTCCCCACCCATATGAATATAGAACCCAACACTCTAAATGAATTCTATCGCACGGTAGGTAAAAATCTAAGCTCAGACATAATACCCTCAGTAGATACTTTGCATTACCTCATATCAGATAATTTTAAGTTATGTTATACTAACATTGAAGAACTACTAACAACTCTATCGGATATTAAAAATAAAAAGACTTCTGGTATGGATGAAATATCTCTCAAAATATTACTAAGTTTACCATTTGAGGCCCTACAGGTATTAGTAGATACGATCAATATATCCTTCTTAACAGAAGTATTTCCATCACGTCTTAAAACAGCAATCATCATCCCATTTTACAAAGGTGGACAATTTAACGAACCAGCAAATTTTAGATCTATTGCATTACTGTTAACTATCTCCAAAATTATAGAGAAATTAGTTAAGAAGAGGATAGTACTATTTTTAGTTGAACACAATATATTGTCGAATTCTCAGTTTGGCTTCCAATATAAGAAGATCACCAATGATGCAAAAGTCTTATTAACTTTGTACTATGCGACTATAAACTGCCATTTAAGATACGGAATCTTGAATTGGGGTACAAGCTCTTCTGCTGAAAGAGTGTTTATTCTCCGAAGAAGAGCCGTCAGAATTTTAGCTGGAATAGGGTGGAGAGACTCATGTAGAAACGTTTTCAAAAACCATGGAATACTTACAGTTGCCGGTTTGTATATCTATGAGTTATGTAGTTATGTTTACATGAACAAACGTATATTTCCAACCCAGCAACATAGATATATTACCCGTAATAGAGATTTTCTGATGCCCAACACTCACAGAACGACCTTATTCCAAAAAAGTTTCCATCATCTCGGCCCGAAATTCTTCAATAAGCTGGATGACTCAGTTAAGAACTCACCTACGTTGAAAAGCTTCAAGTATAGATTGAAAAAAATTTCACTTGAGAAAAATTGCTACTCACTTGATGACTTCTAAGCATTTTCCCACGAATGTATGTAAATGTGTATACACACATCGGAAAAGTCTAGGGATATTTTTATAACATACTAAATATCATAAAAATAAATGCATGAGGTCGTTCAATTTTGATTAAATTAGTACACTCGACCACCCTGTAGATTCCTATGGGTTGAACAAAGCCTGCAAAAACGGTAACTGATCTTTTATCAAGTTTTTTACAAACTGTAGGTTTTCGGCTAAAATGAATAATCTGAAAGTGTCGAGTTTGTACATTCTATGCAGTTCTTGCTCAGCAATTAAACTGGAAATATTGTGCTTTAACATGGAACGCCATCACTTACCATTGGCTGAGATGAATAGAGCTGTAGGGCTTCTTCAAGGTGGCATGCGACAAAATGATGTAGCTCTTCGTTTGGGGGTCTCCCAAAGTGTTAT